TCATCTGTGTTTACAAAAACTACACCCGCATCCTCTTCTGAAAGGACTACTGCTGCTGTGCCCTGCATGACCTCACTGTTTGAGGTCATTTCCTGTCTGGGATCCTGAGAGGAGTCATCTGGGAGATTCACTTTCTCCATATCTGCGGGAATCCACAGAACTTCCTCCTCTGATGCCTGAGCTTCCCAAACGGGTTCGTTCTTCTGGTTCCCTTGAACGTTCTCCATCATCTCAAAGCTAGAACCTAAAAGAACCTCTAGATCTTCTAAGGTGTCCTCACTAGTTGCTGTGGAAGATCCAGGTTCTGGACCAAGCTCATTTTGTAAGACGCTGGAAGAATTTAGTTTCTGTCCGTCAAACTCACTTACTTCACTTGAAAGAATTGTCTTTTCTACAGGCAACAGCTCTCGATTTTCTTCATGCCGGTGTAAAACGCTCTCATCCTCAGCAACCGTAATCCTTGAGGTTGTATCACTAAGTTCTTCCTTCGGTTGCTCGCCATCTGTTTCAAAGTATGGCATTTCTAGACTCTCCTGAAACTCCTCATCAGTGTCTTCTTGATCACAGGTTCCTGAAGAATCAAGATCTCCACTACCTTCCACATTACACGTGATCTTCTCACAAATGCCTCCCTCTAGCTGGGTTCCAGTGTCATCGGTTTTATCCCAAACGTCTTCACAAGCATGCATTTCATTTTCCACCAAATTTTGTCGCGAGCAATCCAGAGGTGTATCTCCATCAGGATTTAGATCCAGTGGTTTCTTGCTTTCTTCTCGAACCTCCTCTGGATCTATGAGATCTCCACACTCATCCTCTTCTTCATCATCAGTCTCTGCACCCTGTGAACAAGATTCAACATCCGAGCTTTCTGGCGTGTCCAAAGACTGAGTGATTCCCATATCTCCTGCCTCAACGATGGGGCTACGTTCAGATAGCTTTTTCTCCTCCACAAAGTTGTGTCCTTTTTCCTGATTTTCCTCCTCAGGTCCCTCAGCACAAACCGGTGTTTCACAGATTAAGTCGTCCGCTTTATCAGCTTCCTCTTTCTGTTGTCCGCAGGAAGAAGTTCTGTTGACTATGCTCTCAGAACCGCTCTGCAAACCATCACTACTATCTCCAACGTCACCGGTACTAACTAGACCAGTACTTGAACGCTTTTCTTGCTCTCTGCAATCAGTCTCACTGTTTTCACAAGCACACGCCCGCTGATCTGCGCTATTGCCATTGAATAGGAGAGCCGGGTCAGTTTCACAGCTGAGCGAGGGACCTCCGTCACCCTCCCTGCTTTGCGAGGGATCCAGGCGGTCATTACGTTCTCCTTTGTTTTCCTCTGTGCTAAAAGGAGTGAACCCTCGTTCTCTCGTCTCAAGGGAGTCGAGCGGTGCCTCTTCACAACAGCAATCTCTGGTCTCCAGGCCGTCATCACATTCTTGGGCAATGTGCAGAGAGTCTGAGCTCTGCTGAAACACAACTCCTCCCTGAACACGAACACAGAACAACAGCTTAGAGTTTTCTCTCCTTCAAGCAATTCTCTAACTCTACAGTTATGTCAATGCAATGAATAGCAGATCTACAGCTGTTATGGTGGAGGATGAAATCTGAAGGATATTTCTTGGCAAACAAGTTCCCTTCTGTTGACTGCATAATAGTATGTATTCATTTAGCAGACATTTCTAAAATCCAAAGCGACTTGCGAAGAGAAGAAGACAACACAGTGATTCATCCTAAAGAGGCAGTAACATGAGATGAGAAGTACAATGCCTCAAGCTGTTCAGAGAAATGTATATTTATATATATATATATATATATATATAT